AGGTGACCATTCTGTTAAAGCATAGCCTCAGGCCAAGATGAGATACAGGCACTTTGAGAAAGGGAGAGGAAAAACAGGAATTTAAGCTGAACAGGTCATTCAATAGGAGGGCATAAATATTCATGAACCTTGCCCTGGTACCTGCATACAGGACAAAGATGCATGTTATGTATGACCCATGTTCAACTCAGGGAGGAGACCTAACATTTAAATCTGGTACAATTAGGTCCTTATAGGTGGAAACGGATTTTCAGGACACAAGGCGCTCAAGTGCATAGCTTCTATTAAATTGGCCAGAACTAGTCCATTGCCAGTGGGCCGTTATCAGAAGGTTACTGCAATCAGTCTCTTATACAATCAAAGCTGTAGTTATGGCTCGTGGGGGTGGGAGTCAGTCTGCAGGTGGATGAGCTAGAATTGTTTTAATATTGCTTATCTCAGGGCCAGTGTTTGTTTAGTTGTTAGAGACAAAGAAAATCCTCGTAGTAGTCAGAACCTAGTGTAGTTTACTGTTTAGGAGTTGGGGTGTATGACTTAACATTTGCCTGGCATGGCCTTAGATCCTGTTTATAATTTGGTATTTTACTACCACAAAGAATCAATCCTTTCAGTCTTCTCTTTCTTTTAACATTAATGTTGGTCAGGTGTTGTGTCTAAATCGCAAAAGGGAGGTGGTATCATGGGCATGTCTGGTCCATTGTCCCGTCACGGCTGGGAAGCCAGTTTTTAAGGTTTTTCTGGGGTCCACATGGCCAACATTGCCATGAGGCAATTTCTCCTTCAGGGAAACCACAGCTTTGCTCTAAAGGCCTTTGAACTGATTGGATGTGGCCCATCCACGTTATTAAGACTAATCTCTTTTTACTTAAAGGCAACTGATTAGATAGTAACCACATTTACAAAACACCTACACAGCCATACCTAGATTGATGTTTGATTGAATAGCCAAGTTGATACAAAAAAATAACCACCCCATTTGTTCTGTGGGGTCATCTGGTATGCACAGAGAGGGTGGAAGCTTTCAAGGGAAGCAGATATTTAGGGAAGGGAGGATTGTCTAACAGAAAAAAAAGTCCTGGTCCCTTTCTTCTCAGGCACATCTTGATTCCAGGGATGGTTCTACTATTAGCACTATTCACCCATAGGAACTCTGTGGCATAAACTAGAAACATTTTAACCTAAGATCTTGCAAAGTAATCCGAGTGATGTAAAAAAGAAAAAAAAAGCATAAAAACAGAGACACAAACTGCAACCTCTCAAAAATAAAAAATAAAATTCGTTTATTGAAAAGGAAAGGTTTAACACATGATCCATACGCAGAACCCCAAACGAGATCTACAAGCTCTGGCACGATCCACATCTCTACACGTACCATGCCGGGAATACACATCCATGTAGGCACATAACATACACAGTACTTTTTAGTTATCAAGACCTGCTGTAAGTTGTTTTTCTTATTCCTCTCATTCACACATCCACTGACACGCTTTAAAATAGAGTCACCTGATTTTATTATTCACTGAAAGAAAACAGCTTCCCCAGCACCACCTTGGTTGAAATTAAAGGACATAGCTCATGACAGGGACCTTCCCCTCATTTCCCACCTCCCTTGCTCGGATAACCTCCTATGAGCACCATTTATGTCCCCTGACCAGGGAATAACCCAGTGGTACAAAACAAAGGGAGGAAATTTAACAAGCTGAAGCTGTCACAGCAAACAGTCTTGTAACCAGCCAGCCAGACCATCTAAAAGTGTTAACCATGATTTCAAAGGCAAATCATCCCCCCCTTTTTCCCCTTATGGTCTCAGAGATTTGTAATGTATTTTGGAAAATTAAATTCTAAGGCAGACTTGCGTTCCCACCAGGAGCTACGGCTGAGACCTGCCTTAACATCTTCTCAGCTACACAATAAACCCATGATACGGTCCCCTTGCTGGGATAATGAACAGAGAGAGCTGTAAACAGACATAGATTGAGAGTTTTTACATTTCCAAAAAGCATGAGGGGAACATTAGTGTTAAATGGAGATGACACTCTAGGGCGGGAGAAATTTGAGAAGAAAAAAGGAAGACAAGAGAGCAGGGAGGACGAAATGATTTCTCTAATGGACTTGTTTGGGATGAACACTTTAGGACGACTCATACGGCTGCAAATTACCCTTCAGGGGGCCAACAGCAAGCAGTTAACATCAGCCAGTGAGTCTGGCTGCAGAGATGAGACGGGTGCGAGTGTGTCTAAACTAAAACACGTCACACCTTCCTACACTTCTGGCCAGGGTTTGTGTAGTGCTCCCAGTGGCTGGACAGCAGCACAATATAAATAATGCCACTTGTGAAGGGTGACAATCCTAGGCAGAGTGAAGAGAAAACAGCAGGTCACACTCTTTCCAGCAAGTGCGTGCATTGAGGAGGAGAGACACTATGGCTGAGAGCTACCTGCTCACAACAGCAGCATTTGGAGGAGAGAACCGCAGGGGGCTCTGAGAAAGCTATTACCTCTCTGCTCATAGAAACTCGGAAGGTGGTGGCAGGGACACCGGGCACAACAGTGTCTGCCCAGAAAACCCGGGTTGCCTTTGCTCCAGCAGATGCAGCCTCACACTCCAGAAAGCCTTTGCTCTGTGGCTCCATGATCAGATTTCCACCTATCCTAGTGCCTTTTCACCAGGCAGCAGAGTCAGGGCATGAGGAAAGTCTCGGGCTGGTTCCCAACCAGCAGTGGGAAGATTCCAGGGAGGGCTCTCTGCCTCAAGAAGCCCTGTGGGAGGCAGAGGAGGAGGGAGGGCTTCCTCCTACAACTTTCCTCTGCCTGAGCCTTTCCTTAATGCTCAAGAGCTGCTCAGATGCACAGCCAGGAAGGCCCTCTGACTGGGTCTGCCTTGCCTGGGTCTTCTAAACGAGCCATACAATTAGGCTGTCAGTGTAGCAGGAACACAGGAACTAGATCAAACAGACCATGACAAATTACCTTCCAGGATTCTTGAAGCTAGAGGCAGCCCTCCTACACACCAGGCTCTCAGGGCCAGGGGCCTCAAAGCCATAAATAGCCTGCAATTTGCTAAGAGCTAGAGCCAGCGGATCCCAGTATGCCACTGTCCAGTCCTCAGCTTCCAGCATCATAGTCCCAATCTCAGAACTCACCCAAACAGAACTGCCTCAAGCAACTCTGAGTACACAGGAGCCTCCACCTGGGGGCAGGACACAAGTGGCTCTTCACCTGGCACATACCTTTCAATGAAAACAATTCTTAGCACTGCTGGGAGCAGGCAGCTAGGCTACGGGTGGGCCCCTAGAGCCCGAGCTTGGCAACAGGAGATGACAGCGTACCTGAGCCCACTTTGGTAACTTCTAAGCCTTAAGCTTCAGAGGGTAGAGCCTCTGCTACTCCCGGCTAGATTCTTGGTCACAAAAGCACCCGTTAGGACCCACCAAACAGCAGAAAAGGTGGGTAAAAAGTGTCACTCTCCTAAGGGAGAACAGTGATGACATCTTAAGTTAATATTATACATTCGTAGGTAGGTTAGGAGTCACTTCAATGAGAGTCCCCTTTTCCTGTCCCTTCACCTCAATTCCACTCTACTGGCTTTGAACAGAAGAGAAAGTAAAAGCTGGGGCCACGATGGCGGGTCGGAGCCCCTTATGAACTTTGGTGAAACACAAAAAACAAAACCCTGATAAATTTTTGCTGCTCTCCCTTAACCAACTCGCAGGGTGAACTTTATCTCCAGGTAAGCAAGAGCCTGGTGATGGGAGTGGAGGCGAGAGTCCACTCAGTACACACAGGACAAGGATGATGCATGCGCAGCAGAAATGAACGCCGTTCTGAGATACGTCCCGCGCCTGGAGCAAAGGAAGAGCAGGCACCCGCAAGCCAGGCAACGCATCCTCCTCTGCCTTCTCTGCAGTTTGCCCCCCAGTCTCAGGCCTGGCCTTGAGGTGAGCCGCCCGGGGCTGTTTGCCAGACTCAGGGAGGCACAACTGGGGAGAAAACAGGGTCCCAATTAGTGTTCAGTGGTTCTTGCCCAAGTTCAGGTCACAGAGGCAGGGTGGGCACGGGTCCTGCCTCATCCCCCACTGATTGTAAACAAGCACCACGCGTAATGTCAGACCAGCTGCTGTGAAGTTTATGAACTTAATTTCACGCTTTCTGTGCACACTGACCTCAATGTCTGATTCATGGCCACAGCGTGGGTGTCTTCCGTGCATGACAGCAACCAAGGGCTGCCGTTGTCTCAGCTCGGTGGGGGCTGAGGCTGGAAAATGGGCCTGAACACACAGAGCACCCATTTTCTACACCTCCCACTCGGCCACCCTCCCTCAGGCCAGAGTACTCACAAGATTTCCTGAGTCCTCCAATAGCTTTTCAGCATGAGACCAGGCTGGTCAGCGGGAGGCAAAAATCCAGCCTCCCAGAGAGGTACACTTTTAGAGGATCCTGATTAAAACCTCTGGGGTCCTCAGCCAAGACTAGACATTTCCTGGAGCAAGGTTCTTTTCAGCAAGAGAAGCTGAATAAAAGTTTACTGAGGAAGAAACAGTTCATAGTAACCCCAGATCTAGAGACAGAGTCTAAAAACAGAAAGCTAATTTTAAATAAAATATAAATACTTTCAGTTTAGGCAGCACTTCATATATCTTTTAAGAGCTAAAGCAACTAAGAATACAGTGTTGTGACCCATACTGAACAGAGAAGAGAAGTTTTTTGCCCTGGGGGTCACAGCAAGTCAGAGAGGAAAAGCTAAAAACTCCAATCTGGGAGGCTGGTTTTAAACCATCTGCTAGGTCCAGCCAGCCACTCCCTGGAGACTTGACTAGGGAGAAGACTGAGGTACAATATTTGGGAGAAAGATGAGGAAGAGGATCTGCTTTAAGAAGGGGGAATAGTGCCCACTGATTTCATCTCAGCCTGGCCCAGGAAAGGAGAAGAGGTGGGGGAGGGGCACTAAAAGTCTTAAATAAAGTGAGCTGTGCAACAGGAATAATTTAGTGGAAGAGGGAGAAGGAGCAAGGGAAAGGATTGAAGAATTCTGGGTTAAAAGAAGTACGAATGAAGGATGACAGCACTGTCACGAAGGTTATGTACCGCACGTCTGTGCCCCACTCTCTCCCCTGCCCTCAGGTTTACTTGGCCCAAGGTGCCTAGGGGCCACGTAGGGGGGTTCCCTGACAGTGACCCTGCCTTTCCCTAGAGCCTGGACCAGGTCTGAAGCTCTGGGGACAGATACTGGGGGGTGGGGTAGACAGTGCGGAGGTGCACATGGATCATTATATAAAGGCGCGGGTAGAATTGATGAGAATGGGAGCATTGGTTGGCTGGATCAGCTCATTAAGGGCCTCATAGGTCCCCACCACAAAGCCCACGAAGCCCAGGATGCTGATCAGGGCGTCCTTGGTGATGGTGAGGGGGCTTATGCCCTCTGAGTAGTAGGTGGTGACCTCCAGGAGGGGTGGGATGATGAGGGCCAGGGCGCTGCTGCTCACGGAGCCCACCAGGGAGATGACCAGGTCCAGGCGGGGGATGAGGATGGCCAAGACACCTGCAGGGAGAGAAGACATGCCTGTTCAAGACTGCCCAGAGCTGGGAGACGTCCCCTCCCTGCTCATCAAATTCAGCACCTGTTAAGGGTTAAGAAAACTTAGACGTTATCCAGTCAAATCTCCAAGCAATGAATGTCCAGAGGTGAGGAACAACTGGGGCACACCACAAGGTCAGTAGAACTGGGACAGGAACCTGGATCTTCTGGCTTGGTCCCCTGGCTTTCAGCTTTCCCTGCTACAGTGCATAACTCCCATCATTCTGAGCAAAAAGGAACCAAACCACATTCCAGGGCAATCTGGTCTCTACCAAAGGAGGGAAGTGGATGAAGTCTGAGCAACTGCTTTCTTATCACTGAGGACACCTCCAACATGAGCTTGCTTAACAAGAAACAAAATGGCTGGTGGGAGGGGGAATCCTCCTTTGCAAAGATACCAAGATAAACCATTTTACAAAACATTTCCAAACAGGCAATAAAACCAGTTGTTTGTGGGCATCGCTGGACACACCCTCCCTATACCCACAGACCCTACATTTAACTGATCTTTCCATGGGTGAGCAAAGGCCAGGGCTTCCCAGTTTTATTGAGGATTGTGGGCCCGGGAATTAGACTCTTGTGTTCAGATGCTGGCTCTCCTCCTAAGTAGGTGGGTGACACTGGGGAAACTGGAACTCTTTCTTATTCCCTAGTTTTCTTGTTGGCAAAATGAGGGTACTGACTGCGGCTACGCCACAGTGCTGTCATCGTGATCAAACGAGGCCACACAGGCACTTAATAACATGTTATCATCACTAATAGTCATCTTGTTGGTCACGAAAAGTGCATCCTTAACTTGTTCATAACCAAATAAAAATGTCCTTAGCATTAAAACAGCAATCCAGAGCTGAGCGATTATGTCAGTGATTCTTACAAAAGGGCTACATTTTCCGTGGGGTGGGGGGACTTGGTTCTAACCTCCTTTCATAAATCAAAAATGTAGTCAGGTCACAGTAAAGAAGGCGCCACGCTGGGGAGACTGCCAGAGCATCTCCATCCAACCAAGCCAATTTTACCTCTAGCGTCTGCATCACTCGCTGCTTCTTTGGCTGAGCACCAGAAGAAAGGATTGAATTACAGTTAGAGGACAGATTTTATCAGAAACACTTAGTTTTAAACCAGAATGTCATTCTCTGCAGTAAGGTGGGAGGCTTGTGGGAACCAAGGCTTAGCAGGGGAGACAGTTTGATAACTCCCGTCTCACACTTACTCTGAAGCCGTGCTGTCCAGGACAGCAGCCCATAGCGGGTGGCATTTAAATTTAAGCAAATTAAAATCAAATAAATTCTGTTCCTCATTCACACTGGCCATAGTTTAAAGGCCACCAGCCACCGGAGCCTAGTGGCTATTAGGCTGAACAGACATGGAACACTTCCATCACTGCAGAACACCCAGCATTGTCGAGCCGCAGCACTACTGAGGCAATCTGCCCCAGTTATGGGCATAGATAATAACTCCACAACAGTATCCCTGTTACTGTGGGAAGAGAACCCCAGAGGGGAAAATGACACAGAGTGCCAGCACCGGCACTAGGATCCAGGACCTCAAGCCCTTGGTACAGTAACCTCTTTGACCTGATGAGGACAGAAAGGCAGGACCCACAGAAGCAGGGAGGAAGGGGGTCTGCTAGATCAACAGAAAGATCCTGTCTGCAAAGAAATGGGGAGGTAGATCCCCAGGTTAGCTTTCCCAAGGACAAACCACAAGTGTTTGGCAGAGAATCCAGCCTACATTCAGCCCTGACCTCTTTCTGCTTTGTCAAAGGGAATTGGACAAGGGATTCAAAGCCTAATAACTAAGGGGTCCAAGGATCTGGAATCTCACATCCACCTCTGCCACCGTTTGGTATCCAGGGGCACTCCTTTATTATTTCTTCTATTCATCAACCATAATGGCAATTCCTAATAACATCTTCACTGATCCCAAGGCTTTGGAAAGTTAAAAGTAGCCTATTTCAGCTCTTTTCTTTTTAGGCAGAGTCTCATTATGTCACCCTGGGTAGAGTGCCCTGGCATCACAGCTCCCAGGAACCTTAAACTCTTGGGCTTTAGCAATTCTCTTGCCTCAGCCTCTCAAGTAGCTGGGACTACAGGTGCCTGCCACAATGCCCCGCTTTTTTTTTGGTTGTAGTTGTCATTGTTGTTTGGCAGGCCTGGGCTGGAATTGAACCTGCCAGCTCCGGTGTATGTGGCTGGCACCCTAGCCGCTGAGCTACAGGTGCTAAGCCTGTTTCAGCTCTTAATTATTTCTAAATTAACAGAGTTGGTGACATCTCCCAAATCTTGAGGGGAGAATTTGAGGGAAAATAATTGGAAGTATTGGCTCAGCACCTGTAGCTCAAATGGCTAAGAAGCCAGCCACATACACCAGACCTGGCAGGTTTGAATCCAGCCCAGGCCAGCCAAACAATCATCACAACTATAACCAAAAAATAGCCAGGCATTGTGGCAGGCGCCTATAATCCCAGCTAATTGGGAAGCTGAAGCAAGAGAATTGCTTAAGCCCAGGAGTTGGAGGTTGCTGTGAGCTGTGGTACCACGGCATTCTACCCAGAGCGACAGCTTGAGGCTCTATCTCAAAAAAAATTGGAAATATTATAGAAATTGTAGGTTGTTGATGAAATGGCATTCCCACAATAGGTGATCTAATACTCAGCAAGAGCTTATCTGCTGTGTGACCCAAACTAAGATACTTGCCCTCTCTGGAGCCTGGTTCTCCATGTACCTAAGGTCAGCCTCAAAGTGATGGCTCTGGGTGTTCTAGGGGGTTGGAAAGTGCACTGAGGCAGCAGCTGGGAGAACCATGCCCCAAGGAGAGGTGGTCAAGGACTGCTGGCTCCAGACTCAGAATGTCCAGGCTCTAATCTCAGCTCTACCACTAAGTGGCTAGTTACTCAAATTCTTTGAGACTCATGTTCCCAACTACTAAATAGGACTGGTCAGGTGCGATCACTCATGGAAAGAACACAAGAGCACTAAAAGCACATAATAAATGCTTCAGTGTTCACTAGTATCACTACCAGCCCCTACCTGATAAGAGCTTTGGGCCCTGGGCAAATCAGCTGACCATTTTCAGCCTCCATTCGCCTCTCATTGAAAAGTGGCGACTATTAATACTGCTGACCACTCACGTCTCACCCAACCCTGGAACCCCAAGGAACTGTACAACCCAGTCTGGGTCCCTTAGGAAGTGTCCTGGGATATTCCCCTCAGCTCGCTGATAAGAGGGGAACCTGGTGTACTGCTCCAGACGGCACAGCAGAGCGATGGGGCAACTTTCCTAGAACTCAGGGTTGTGCCAGAAAGGTAGCTTCTAGCCCACCTGGTTTTGCATCAGTAGAGGCAATGTGAGCTATTCCTCCATGACCAGAGGGAGGAGTGGAATGTGAGCACCTCCCCTGAGGGAGGAGTGAATCAGTGAATCAGCACCTCCACTGAAGGGAGGATACATCGTAAGAGAACGTGAACTCCTGGACGAGTCAGACAATGGGCCCTCCCCTCCCTGCCCTGAGAGTAGTGGCCTCCTTACTCTCTCACATCGCCGTGGGAGGTCATATGGGCAGTTCATCAAAGAGCTAAGTGGAATCAGATAGGCTCCAGTTTGTGACAAGAGTTCAGCAGAAATACAGACAGAAGTGTGAAGATCAGAATCTTTTCTTAGATCAGGTAGAGGCCTTCTAGTTCATCATGATATTTTACAAGTAATCTAACAACTTGTTCTTATTCTTACTATTACATATGATAAGTATGTCTCATAAAAATATTAATGGAGGCCAAGTGCAGAGGCTCATGACGGTAATCCCAATAATTTGGGAGGCTGATGTGAGAGGAGTTGGAGACCAGCCTGAGAAAAATAGCAAGATCCTTTCTCTACAAAAATTAAAGTAATTAGCCAGGCACAGTGGCTCGTGCCTATAGACCCAGGTACTCAGCAGGCTGAGGGAGAAGGATCACTGAAGCCCAGGAGTTTGAGGCTAAGTGAACTTGATACTACTATACTCCAGCCTGGGCAAGAGAGTAAGACCCTGCCTCAAAAAAAAAAAAAAAAAAAAAAAAAAAAGATAAGCAAAAGAAAAGAAAATTCCTAATAGAGATTTTTTAAAAAGGCAAACATTTCTCTTCTCTTAAATCTAAGACCACAGGGCTGCAAATGGAAGT